TGATAGGCAAAATATATTTTGACATATAGTTAGTCGGTCCACACGACCCGTGGGTAGCATATATGAAACACAAACCCGTCCCGCGAATGTATGCTGATTTGCGGGGTTGTCCGTGGGTTTTTGTTTAAATAATTTTAAAGTAACAAAAATTTAAAATACTACTAAAATAAATTAAAAAAATTTAGAGAAAATAATTTTATATATCATTATATTTATAAATATTATAATTTCATTTATTAAAAGTTTTTTAAATTACCAAATGTTGAATAAATTATATTCTTATCAATAAATACTAACATGCAGGCTGATCCACCAACCCGCGAACGAAAACCGATTAAAACCTATGATCCACTACGAATCAATCCATGTTGCCTGTTTATTTTACGGGTTTAATATTTTTTCCCAAATCTGCCCCATAGTGAGATGATTTGGGCTCGACTCACGGTTTTTGACCTATTTTGACTGCTCTAATTCCTATGAATCGTCTAATTTTAGAATTCTAAAACATAAAATTCCATTTTGTAATCATAATTAATATGATCGGTTTAATTATAAACAATTTCATATTTTCTCTACAATTCGTTATTTTGAATATTTATAAGTACACTACACGATTCACTCTACTTAAAACACGGACAATATTAAAATCAACGTATGTAAACCAATATTCTCCCGTGGTGGACCGCGGGTCCGATCCTAGTCTATATTTACATTTTCGAAGTACATTTATAAAATAAATCCTGGAGTTTGAAGTTATTTACGAGTCCATGCCATTGGCTTAGATTTGTAAAATTAAATCAAAGATATCATGCCCACGTTTTTTCCACATTTGATGGGTTGTTTAGAAAAAAATCATTTAAAATAAGATCCTTTAAATGATTCCATATGTTTAAATTTTGATTTTTTTGGAAAACATATCAAATCGTTGAGTAGAATATAAATGGAAAATATTTAAAAATATATTACTCTAATAAATCGTTGCCAAAATCTCTCCCAATATTCTAAAGCATATTTCATTTATTCCTATTCAACCATTCCCGAAATTGTCATGTTGAATATAATTTCCAAGATTTTCAAAACTTCCTCACCAAGATTTTAGCTACTCATTATTAGAAAACCCTACCATCTTACCTAAACACTATAAATACTCTTCAATCGCATCACCTAAAAGCACCATTTGATTTTGCATCCTCGGTTCGTATCCATCTCCAATTAATTCCCACTAGGATCGTATAGAGATTGATAAACAATAATTGCTTTCTTTCTTTTTTTTTTTGTTTTAATGTTAAGAGATAAACACTACTAATTTCTATTATAGAAGAAACATAAACCCTACTTTGTTGTTTTCGTAGATTAGGAATCCAAGTTTATGGGTATTGCTACATCGAGAACCTAATTATTATTTTCGATTGATTGGGCTAAAGTTTATGTTGTTTGGATTTTGGCAGAAGAGGAGAACATATATGATCGTTACCTGGCTAACCGGAAGATTCAGAAATATGGATTATGTTTACTAAAAGCAATAGACACGGTGAAAAAGGTATCATCCATCTGACTGTTTTCATATATGTCTTAGATTTGACAAAATTTATTTTTGGATTCTTAAAGTGATTTATTGAGAACTAATATTAATCATCTTGAGCTTACATTTATTGGCTGTGAAATTGAATCAACTTACAGAAAATGAGGGAATATGGATATTGGAAGAACCTAAGGAAGACATGAACTCTATCTCTTGGCCACGACGAAGAAGATTGTCAAGAATTGAGTAGATTTCAATTGATGGTTTTGTGTCGTCTCTCCTTCGATTCAATGCAAATTAGATACATTGATCAACTTTAATCAATCGATTAATCCACATGCAAATAGCTTGAAAAACTCCAAAATCGGAAACGTATAAGAGAGGTTGACGAAGGAGAGAAGATTGTCAAAAAGGGAATATTTTTTCTTTTTCAGATTTCAAAGACGATTTTTTTTGTTTTGATGCAATATTTTCTGTTTACTTCGTCAAACATTAAAAATAAAAACCTAAAGGGTAAAGTACAGAAAAATGTCTACTAAGGTCCAATACATAAAGACACGTCCATAAAATGCATTCGATAAATTGGGAATGATGCAACATAAATCAGTTTTTTTTTTCTTATTTTCTTTTGACAAATGTCGTTTAGAACTCTAAAAAAAATTAAAAAAAAAAAGTTTTCTAAGTGAATCAGAACACTGTAATCTAAGTGGTTATGTGAACCATTTAAAATAAACTTTTAAATTAACTCAAATTATATGTTTTTAAATAAAATTATTATTATTATTATTTTTTTTTTTTTGTCAACCACACGTTAATTAAGAAAAAACTCCTTGATTGGTTGCCTAATTAGCAAGAGAAGAGTTTACAAAATTATTAATAAAATTATTACAAAATAAAATTATTATTAAAAATAAAATAACAAAATAATTTTTAATTTCACGGGACGGAGTTATATGGTGAAACTGGTTTGGGTCGATATTAAAACGGGACGGTATACCACACGGGTGAAATCCTAGAGTTAATAACTAATGTAACGCCCCAAAAATTCTGAAAGAATTATCGAGACATTACTAAAGGCGGTTTCAGCAGACGAATGATAGAGTAGCGGCACATCCCATACCATACACAAAATTATACATATATTGGATATAACAGCAGCAGCAAATCTCAATAGCGGTACCGCCGACTAAAGAGTACGCAACTAGGATTGACCGATCACTAGTCCGTAATTGACACTCCCTTGGTCCAGCAGAGAGAGATACAATGGTTACGGAAGCGGCATCACTCCGAACCAAACAACAGACTCGGTACCATGGTACCCGATTTTATATCTAAATATAATATAGTATACTATATAAAGAAACACAACAACTCTGTTTACTAGCAATCGTATTACTAACAAAACCACAAAATTCATCAGACTAATTAGCTTTAAATTTCACCTAGTCTAATCACGAGTCATTCCAATTCCTTTAACCGATCTACTCAATTTATCTCCTATATTAATTATTCAATGTTCAGCAATTTATAATAACTAAAAAAAAAAATAATAATAATAATTTATAATAACTACGAGAGACATAATGACCCAATATTCACGTTTTATAAAAAAGTCAAACCACTCACTCACAAATACAATAGAAACGAACGATTCCAAATTAATAATAAGATAATGAGAAGCACACTAATCTACCAAACAAAAGAGGAACATAAGACAAGAAAAACTCTACAGCTAGTAGGCCTGTGATAAATATCCGCTATCTGCGAGTATCCGGATCCGGATCCGGGATCTGCTCCGAAAAAACGGATATCCGGCTAAAACGGATCCGGATACGGATAGGGAATTTACGGATCCGGATAAGAAGAATTTTTTGTGGGCGAATATCCGGATCCAGATATTATGTCTTCAACTGAACCCACGTTTAAAAGCCCACAAGCCACAATTAGGCCTACAAGAACAAGGGTTTGTTAAGCCCACAAGGGTTTGTTAAAGCCCACAAGGGTTTGTTAAAGCCCACGTTAAAACCTACAAAATTTTTAGCTCCATCTAGGGTTTGTTACTTTCTTTCTCAATTCAGGAACGCAGACAGTCACCTCTTCGTCTGATTTTTTTTTTTGTGTGCAACCCATCTCTTCACCTTACAATCACAATTTCTCGATTCAGAAGACTCATCTCGTCGCCCTCTATATCTCTTCAATTCTTCATCTCCAATTTCTGTCTAAAACTTTGACAACTCGTTTTTTATGAACGGAATCAATTTCTTCTTCTACCACTCTTCGATTCTCGGTCGTGTCACCAAGTTTTTCATCTCTAGATTATATAAAACTTCTGGAAATCGTGTGAATTCATGTTTTTTTAGAGATCTATAACTATTTGCGGGCGGATCCGGATATCCGCCGGATTTCCAATTTTTTTCGGATATCCGTAAACCGGATATTCGGACTATACGGATACGGATACGGATCCAAATGTTATATGTGAGGATCCGTAACTTACGGATCCGGATCCGGATAGCTTGATTTTCTCGAATATTCGCTCCGTTAAAAGGCCTAAGAGCTAGTAACATATAACAAAGTCAATTAATAATCTAATAGGGGTGAAGGCAAATAAAAACTCACCGATTGACGATCAACGCTTTGGAGTGGTCAACGGCGAAAACTCACAAATAATTCTCTTTAATGCATATATATACTTTTCTAAGATTTTCTTAAGTTAACAAAAGACAAAACCCTAACGCACAATTATTCTATTCACATAAATGGGCTTCTATAATAACTAAATGGCCCAAGCATAATTAAGATTAACAAAAAAAATCGTTTTAAGAGAATGGATGATATTAATCTTGCGATGACTTTAACATTAGTTATTAATATAAATATTTTATTAATTTGCTATTCTTTACATTTGACATATTTCAATTAAAAAACTCATGACACACGATAGAACTAATAATTAACATAGCTATCAAATATAATTTAGATGTATAAACAGGATCATAAATTATTAAGTGTCTGATTTATTAACACTATCAAGCCTAAAAATTTAGGACATTACAACTAAAATACAATTATACAATCTTAAACACCGAGCAAAATAAACAATCCTAACAAAACATATATCGCTTAAAATTTAAAAATTTTAAGTTATAAAAAATTGACCCGCGATATACCGCATAATTGCACACGAATTAATATATGCTTATATATATATATATATATATATATATACTAGTGTTAAGCCCGTACTACGTACGGGTCAAAAATAATTACATATATTATTTTTTCTTCTTTTAAAAACGTTTGTGTAGTTACTGGTTAAATTTAAATTTAAATTATAGTCAGAAGTTGAGAGCAAAGATTTGGAAAGTGGTTAACTAAAATTAGAACAGTAGTCAAAAGTGGAGAAATGTGATAATACTTGTGGTAATAAGTAGGAGAAGAAATTACGTAGCACATTAACGAAATTACAAAATATAAATGGTTTCTCAATAAATTCATAAATATTGAATATTATACATATGCCTATAAAATTTTGGAAATACAAAACTATCGTTAACATGGATAAATACATTAACAGTTGTGCCCATAAAAGAACCAAACAACTAACAGATGATGTTAATAATCAAGAGAACTTGTAATTTGTGGGATCATGTTCTCTCGAGTTCATCCTAAAAGCTCATTTAGTTTTTGATGTTGGATCGTCTTCTCTCATGCACTATTTAATCTCCATATGGTACAATATAACTGTGAACTTCTTTGTTCCTTTACACCATATGCGTTCCTACATTCACACAAAAATCAAGAAGTACAACGTTAAGATCAAGGATGAGATTGTAAATCTCATGTTCTTTATTTTATAATTAAATGGTCTTAGTCCAATCCTAAGACTATTAATGTATTTGGTAAAATAACAACTTCAATAAATAAGATGTTGTTAATCTGAAAGACTCATTCATATTTTTTCTCTTTCTAGCCTATGCAAAGATTAAAATTTACTAATCCTTTTGATTCCAGTCTTGCGTGAGATTAGCAAGCTTCCTACAGTTTGGATTGGACCTAAGTAACATAGAATAAGAAGATTTTAAGAAACTCTGCATTTACTCTGTTTAAATCTAAAGGAAAAAGGTTTTAATAAAATTTGAGGAATGTTTAAAAGCCAACTTCTATATATTAAACTTTTGCGATTAAGAAAAGAGTAAATGAAGCATATGAACAGAATCATAGTTGATGCTGACGATGGGCTGGACAGAGCAAACAATGAAGTGCACATGAATCAATTGAAACAGACTAACCTTGAATACTCTAGTTTCTGAAAAGAGTCAAACACTTGACGTTGGGAGCCACAAACGTAAGAGAAGAGTCATAAGCTGTTTTTGTTATATCAGAACTTAATGATTTGTAAGAGAAAGAAGAAACCTAACAAAGTAAAACTATACCTAGAGAAATGATATGGAGGACTAACCTTAAAGCTGCCAAAAACCTTGCAGAAACAGAGATGTAGTTCAACACTAATTTTTCGGCATCGACAATAAAACGTAACGTTTGCTTCTGCTTTTTGTGGATTGGAATGGTTGCAACTTACTCCAGATTCAATAGGATTATGGGAAGACAAACGGTGAAGATGAATCAAAACCTAAAAGCAGAATTGGAAAAAGAGATTAGTAAACAGTGTGATGATAAACCCTATAATCGAGACATGTAACAACAGTTGAAATAAAAGGTTATCTCTTAAAACAATTACACCCGATGAATATCAATCGAAAATTTTATTTTTTTTACCCGGATAAAGTTGTAAGAAAACCAAAGCAGAAAAGAAAGAAATACAGAGGCTTTTATAGGAATTCCATTGTCGAAGAGAAGAAGGAAAGTGGAGACTTTAGAGATCGTGGTGAGATTTGAAGAAGGTGAGTTGATGAAAGTGGGAAGTTGAATTAGGTGGAGATCGTGGATTACGAAAAAAAATCAGATCTTTTTTTTTGTTTTTCCTTTTTGCACATGATCTCAATATTATTTTAGAATTATTTTTATGGAAATTAAAAAGAAATTATAAAATAAAAATATATGTGGCAGAATTCTATTGGCGCAGGTGACTTATGCTTTATAAGATAAAGAATATATATATATATATATATATATATATATATATATATATATATATATATATATATGTTATTTTAAAAATACAAAACAGTAGGTTATATCTTTAGATAATCTACCTAACCATTTAAATGCTGATTTTTAAAAAAACTTATAGCCCCGCCGTGTACCACGGGTATAAATCTAGTAAAAAGTATATTTTTTCCTCATTTTCCATGATTTAAAAATTTTAAAACGAATATAAATTGTTCCATCTATGAAGAAAAAATTGTAACGGATCAAATACTCAGACTTGAGTAATATATTTCATTTAAACAAAAATAAATTCATCGAAAATTCCGTCTGAGTAACGGGTCGAAATTTGAATATTTAATTTATATCCAATTTCATACATTTCTTTTTTTTTCAAATTTATAATTTTATATACTACAGTAAATTTTATAAATATTTTAATTTAGAAGATTTTAAAATAGTTGAACTTCATAGTTTTAAAGAATGTCATAAATATTTTAATAAATAAATAATTAAAAATTATGAATATATTTTTATAAAAATACATATATAATTATAGATATATAATAATATATAAATATATTGCAAATATATATAATATCATAAAAATACCTGAGTGAAATGCTCCAAAAAAAAGAATAATTTCCAAAAAAAATAAAAAGAGAGTTTCACGTTAAACTTCAATTCTCAAGAAAATGAAAACACAATGACAACCGTATATATAGAAGTGGAACCGTATAAGTGGCCGTATTGAGCCGTATAGCGGCCGTATAGAGCCATATTGAGCCGTATAGCGTCGTATAAACGGCCTTATTGAGCCGTATAACGCCGTATAAGCGACCGTATTGAGCCCAACCGTATTTGTTAAATGCATAGCTTAAAAACAGTACAGTAATCTGTCGTATAGCATATAGATGCTATATATACGGCTTCCTACGACGTATTTTAGAACACTTAAATAAAGTTTGACACCTCTAAATATTTGAAAATTTGATTCTGCAAGCAATTTTAAAAATAATGAATGATGAATTGTGCAAACAATTTTTTTATTATAATTCTAAACTGAAAATATGGACTCTACGCACGGGCTGAATTTGATATTATTATATATGAAAAATTTGTTCATAATATATTTGATAATGCGAATAATTATTAAGTTTTGTAATTAGCTTAGATAGATCTCCCTTTCAACAACCAAAGAATTACAAATTAACAAATTAACTTCCTAAATTAACTCCAAATAATATATAACTTCCTCAAATAAGTCATCTACATTTTAGATGCGGCTCCTTTATGATATTTTGATGTTTGATCTAACCGAAGTATATGCAATCTCATTTAGTGAATGTTAACATAAATAAAATCATTTTTCAAAACATTTTAAATTTTTAAATAAGAATACTTTCCATTTCCATATCTTTTAAAAAAAATTATCCACAATTAAGTATTATATATAGGGACTGATAAAAAAAATATTTTATTTTTCTCTTTTTACTATAATAGATAAAAAATTTATTCAAATATATAATATAGAAAATTTTGTATTAAATAAAATTTAATCCGTGCTATAGCACGGGTCATGATCTAGTAACTTATATTTTGTGGGTTAATTTTGGCGGCTATATGTCATTGAAATATAGACTCACTAGAATAATTTCAAATATATCTGATTAAACCGTATCTGGAAAAAAGAGGACATGGTTTCTTATGTAAATAATTATCTTGTTTTAATATATTTATTTATTTTAAAGAAAATTATTTAACTTAACTTAAATTAAACCGAAAAATATGATGTTGATGAATTTCAAGTGTACTGGTACGACACTAGTGGCGCAGACATACATAGTGGATGAACGATTGGATGGCTTATATAGTTGTACAGAATTGATATGTTGTGATAAGATAGCGATTATGTGCCTTCAAGATGGATATAACAACAAACCAACCATTTCCGAAATCGTCCATATATATGTTGGCTAGCGATAATCATCTTGTAGCCTGAAAGAGCCAACTTACGCATTTGTGTAACCCGGCGGCACTCAACGTTTATCGTCATCAAACCACATTTTACTGATAAATAATATCACGCAAACAACGCTCGAAAGAAGATGGGAAGAATCGACATTTATTTATTTAAAGATAGAAATATATTGTATCTATATTTCTTTTTCACTAAAACTTCAGACTTGATATAAAATATAATTAAGAAGCGGTTTTTGCGTTGTTAAGAAAACAATTGCATCTAGTAGTGCAGATTTTTATTATATAAAATAATCTATTATATTTTTGAGTATGTGGTTGAAAAAGATCTATAGATGTTATAATTAAGTCGGAGAATCATTATGCGTAGAACATTATAACTGAGAAAAAAGAGATATCTCGTTTAAAAAAAAATTTAACTGCTAAAATTTTTAATAAGCAACTTTGAATCTTTATACTTCTATTAAATTTTAGCTGCATAAATATGAAAATAATATAGAAGAACCATGCCTAGTCGATGGAACAGGGCATAAACCTATTGCTTATGACCATTATTATAAATTATTTTGTTTTTAGTATTTTGTTTTATTATATTCTCTAATTTGGTTGGAAATTAATATTCATATATTTTTGTTTTGATGTCTCAAATTTGAATTTTAAATCTGTATCTCTTCATCATTTTTTAATATTTACATATTTTTTGCTTATATTTTGCCTATTTTCATTTAATTATTTTATTTTCTCTTCTTTAGATACGCTCAATTAATAATTGTAATGTACTGATAGAATTATAGTAAATAAATAAAAATTTATCAGTAAATACTGTTTTTGTAGTTATAATATAATTAACTAATGCGAATAAAATTTCAATAGAACTATATATGAGTTCAAAATTGCTTCTTTTAAATCACAAATGTGTGGTTTAGAAGATTTGAACCAATAAATTTAACATTTTGAATCATTTTAATTACATCTTAGAATTTTTCATAAATCATGATAGTAAAATTACGTGGAATCCTTCCTACATTCATGATAAACAGTTTTCAAATTAAAGCATGAGAAGAGAAATTGTTACACAAGCCCTATTGGACTCAATAGTTAGTAGTAGACTTGTACAAACTACAAGCTTACTTAGCTTTAAATGTAATTGATATTTTTAACTATTTATATTTTACATTTTTTTGTAATTGGTTGGTTTTCAAAAATATAATAATAAATTTACAGTTTTAAAAAGAAAAATATTTTCTTAACCTATGTGCTTTTAACTAAAACATCCTATATTTTTAGTATTTATTAAAAGTAAATGTTAGTAGAAAATAAAAACGTTATTGTTATCTCCACAAATATTTTTTTTCTTCTTAAATAGATTACTTATAGAAGTTATTGATCAGTTTTAATGAATATATTTTAGTAAATTAATACTTTAAAAATTGTAGTTTTCAATGATAATTTTCAAAAATCAACAAATCCATATTATTATTTTTGAACTACATTTGAAAAATAAACTTTTGTTGCGGTAACATATTACATAAAATATCATTAGTGAGAAGGGAAAATAACTAAGCACAATGAAAATATTTTGAAATTATATATAAAATTAGAAATAGACATATAATGTTCCACAATTAATATAGAGAAATTGCCTCTTATAGCCCCAAATCAAGTTTTTTGGACTAGAATAGCACTCAAAAGTTTATTAGACCAAAATAGCACTTTATTTTTGATTTTTAAATTAATAAATAATTATAAATAAATACAAAAAGTCACAAATTCATCGTTATTATTTTCCCGCCAAAACAAAATCCCGTCAAAATTTTCCCGCCAAAAAAATTTCTGTCAAAATTTCCCGTCAAAATATTTTCCGCTCCCGGAAAAAAATATATCGTCAAATTTTTCCTGCCAAAAAAATTTCGTCCATCTTTTCCCGCCAAAAAAGAATCCAAGAAATTTAGGAAGGATTCCACGAAATTTAGGAAGGATTTCACGTAATTTAGGAAGGAGTTCACGAATCATGAAACCCTTCCTGAATTACGTGGAATCCTTCCTAAATTCATAAATTCATGAAATCCTTCCGTGAAATCTTTCCTGAATTTCGTTGAATCCTTCTTGAATTTCGTGCAATCCTTTTAGGAATCTTTTCCTGAAATTCAAGGAATCCTTCCTGAATTTTGTGAAATCCTTCTTGAATTTCGTGAAATCCTTCTTGAATTTCGTGAAATCCTTCCCGAATTTCTTGGATTTTTTTGGCGGAAAATTTTGACTGGATTTTTTTTTTTGCGGGAAAATGTTGAAATTTTTTTTTGGCGGAAAATATTTTTACGTTGCGAAATTTTATTTATTTATTTATTTTAATTAAACTAATTATTCATATTTAATATTTAATTAAAGTTTATAGTGCTATTTGTGGAATTTTTCAAATGTAGTGCTATTTTTGGAAGAAAAACTTATTTTAGCGCTATTTTTGTCAGTCTCTCTTTATATTATTTTTTGTTCAATTAATATTTTCACATGTTTCTAAATTGAGTGTAACCCAATCTAATCTATTATCTTTAACTAGATGAATACCCACGCTACGCGTGAGTTTGTTTTGAAAATTGTTAAGAAAAAATTATGTTGATTGTTCTTGTTGCTAATTTATATTTATTTTTTAATTTTTTATTGTGTAGTTAATAAAATTAAACTCATCTTATAAAGTTACAATTTATATGATTAGATACATATTTGACTTAAAATATTAATTTATACATTTTATGTATAGATCTGATTATTTATATTTCTAAGATCCTAATATTTTTTCACCACCATGAATACACACAACAACAATATAGGATATTTTTATACAATCATATGTAATTATGTCATTTGTGTGGTTTGAAACTCGCATAACTTGATTATA